GTTGACAAATTCGGCTCAGCCCCAATATATCACAGTGTAAATGTAGCTCGAAGTATTATTTACTGTTAGTGCTTGAAGGAGATTGGGAGTCAAAATGAAATAGAAAAAACATCTGACCAAATTCCAAAATGTCCGATCAAATTACATTTTGGTTGGACATTTTTCTGGACAATTTTGACCATTATTTCAGGCTCTGCAAACCTATTTTAAATTTAACGCACCCTAACTTTTTGCAATTTTACTCTTCAAACATAAAATGACTCTACTCATCAAAGAAAGATGCTTGGGGTCAAACTAAATAACAGCTTGTTGCATTAAATATTAATGTGCTGTCCATGCATTCATGTTTAGTGAGACTGTAAATATTGCACAGATTATTTGACCGAATAAGACCTTCATTAATCATTACAATCTTGAATTGCCGCTTACAATATTTCATGATTGGCAATTGTAAATCTGCTGTCAGAAATGGAGATGAAATATTGCTGCTATTAAATAGAGACTTAAAACTCCCTTGTGGCATTGTCTAGTAAGCCCAGCAAGGAACAATATATCCAAACTCATTTACATGGCCAAAATGAAAAACTTTTATCCCCAGCTTATCATAACAAAGATCGAACATTGGATAGGGTTTTAAGTAGATGACTATCCAACCACTTTGTATTTACAAATTCGAGAACTCTCTTCATATTTATTAATTATTAAATACTAAGTAACTTTAAATAATATTGTTGTTGCATAATTTTTTAAGAAACTTTAAGAAACGGACGAATTTCATACAGCATACACGCTGGCTCAACGTTTAGAAATATTTTTAAAAGATTATGGTTGCGGAACGTCTTGAATGAAAACCACGCTAATACATAAACCATTAAATCTTTTGATGTTCAACATCTTTTGAAATGTTAATGAGCATTCGGCTTGAAAAATAGGGCGTATATTAAACATTGTGGCAAAAGGGCACAGAAATGCTTTAGCAAAGTTTTAAACTTACTCTTAATCCCAGTAGGAACTCGTTAACATCCACAGATCCGCTGCCATCTTTATCAAACGCTGCAAATGCTTGCTGTGCCATCTTAAAAATCAAATATAAAATATTTGACAATTATCTTCGACCTGCTTTATGTTGATTTTGCTCAGACCTTACCTCCTTGTCTATCCCTACGCCATAGTCGTGTAATCCTTTTTCAAATTCCTCAAAGTTCAGAGACTTGCTTCCGTCGTCATCCATAATCCGAAAGGTCCTAATTTGAAAGTAAAGATGATATTTATCATCTTAGAACATTCCCAGCAGTGGAATATTATAATCAATATATTATTTGCACGCAATTTTAGTATTTTACAGCAGCTACAAAACCACACATTACCTTCCTAATCCTTTAATACCAGACGAACCTCGTGCTAGGCAAGCATACCGCAACTTTTCAACAGGATCATCCGTTTCATCAACCAAATGACGGTATTTTCTTCGCATTTCTTCTTCTGCATCATTTTTAGCACCTTTGCGACGCGCCATGTTTCTTCAGTCTTTCAAAATCACGTGCACTATGAAGTGAAGTCGTCAGTGAGTGAAGTGCATAAAATTTTACTTACGTAACAGCTCCACAGCTTCCCCAATCCAAGATATTGACATCAGTCTGTGTTGTCTGTGGACATCACATTATTATTCTGCCCTTCGCATCTTTCCTCAAAAGGCCCTGGGGACGAGGTTGATTATGCATTTATGCGTTTATTAAAAAACCCGCATTAAACAAGGGTGTGTGTGTGTGGGGGGGGGGGGGGGGGGGGGGGGGGGGGGGGGGGGGGGCGGGGGGGTTGACACCTCCCTGAAAAATCGTTGCGGCAAAATTACAGTTAGTCAGCAAAAGATTAGCCTGCGAAATTTAGGGATTTAATTTCGGGCTGCGAGCAAAAGATGAATTGGACAGGAAAGAAAAGCCGGAACTATTGTGAAATATTGAAGTGTACTGATTTAAAAGTGATAGTCATAACCAAAATTTGGAGAAATTTACAAAAATATTAACGAACAATTTAACGAAATCCAAAAATACAAAACTGTGATTTACCGTAAATACAAAACTACAAACATTTTTTGTCATTCATTGCATGTTGATTTGGGGTCAAAAAATTTTTCCGGACATACCAAAATTTTCCCGAACCTAACAAAAATTTTCGAAATATCAGTAAATTGACAGCAAAATTTTCAGAATTTGTCCCATTTATTTTTTTGATAAACCAAAACTGCCCGACTGTTCAGCGAATATTGCCTGACTGCCCAAAAAACTGGGGGGCTGCCGCCCTCCCCCCCCCCCCCCCCCCCCCCCCCCC